CCCACGGGCTCAGGCAATCCACTCACCTCAGCCTCCTAAAGCACTGGGATTACAGGCTGAGCCACCAAGCCTGGCTAAAACAAGATTTTCAAAGAACAAATGGTCTTACCTCCAGGATATGCAAACAGATGACTTCACAAAGAGAGGATTTGGGTTAAGGTTGTCTAGCAGGTTTTCGGAGCTTGCAGATTTATATATATATATATATATATATATATTTGTTTATTTTTATTTTTATTTTTTGAGTTGGAGTCTCACTCTGTCACCTAGACTGGAGTGCAGTGGCTGCACCCGGCCACCGCAACCTCGACCTGCTGGGCTCTGGCGATCCTTCCGCCTCAGCCTTCCGAGTAGCCGGAATTACAGGCATGCACTACCACGCCCGGCTGATTTTTTGATTTATTACAGAGATGAGATCTCGCTGCCCAGGCGGGTCTCGAACCCGCGGGCTCAGGCAATCCACTCACCTCAGCCTCCCAAAGGTGCGGGATTACAGGCTGAGCCACCGAGCCCGGTTTAAAAGGAATACTTTTAACCGTTATCAGCCCCTCTCTGTCACAGCATGTTGGGCCCTTGGGGGTGGAAGGAAGGTGGAGTTGCACAAACACATCTCCCTGCGAGGAGCTGCCACAGGCCCTGGAATCTTCCAGTCTCCCCAACAGCCTCCTCTCTGGGCAGCGAGCCCCATGGACCCTGTGCCTGAACCTGGAAGGACACTTTGGGGCAGGTCTCACTGGTGCTGGGTCTCTAACCTGCCCCAGGAAACACAGGGAGGTCTAGGGCCCCCACCCCTCCGGGGGCGGGGCTGCAGCCCAGGAAAGGGCCATGGATTTCAGCAGAGAAGGCCTGTGACAGGGAAGGGGTGGGCTTTGGTTGGGTCCTTCTGGGGACTGAATGTGGAGGTCCAAGCAGAGGACAGAAAGGGGCTTTGAACCGGGATAGTGAGGTCCTGTAGCTGATGGACTCGGATAGGAGGCTGAAAAAGGCCTCCAAGGCCTCTCTGTGACCTATGACAGCATGGGGTCAACTGAGGCAAATCTTGATTGCGTTCCTGGACAGGAAGCCCCTTCTTAGTCCTCAGTCCCTCCCCTCCCCTGCCAGGAAGTAATTTGATCCTCTGGAATTTGTTCCCCTATCCTGGTGCCCAGCCAATTCACCAAATTGCAAACAGCAGGAAATAGAAACTTCTGAGAAACAGAAACTACAGGGGAAGGGGAGGGCCCACTGAACACCCTCCCAGCATCTGTCCCCCACAACGGCTCCTGTCTCCACCGCGTGAACCCGACTTCACAAACCTTCCTCACTCGCAGCACGTGCTTCCCCCAAAGCCTGGACATGACCAAGGAGGAGTACGAGGTGGGAGTGCTGGGGGCACCCCACAACTCCGTGCCCCTAACGTCCACCGTGATCAACATCCACAGCGACACCTCCGTGCCCGACCACGTCGTCTGGTCCCTGTTCAACACGCTCTTCATGAACGTCTGCTGTCTGGGCTTCGTCGCCTTCGCCTACTCCGTGAAGGTGCGTGTGGGCCCCTGGGGGTGTCCAGGAAGGTGCCTGTGAGCCGGGCAGCTCCACCGGCCCAGGGCGGCCGGGGTGAGGCTGTGTGATCTTGTGTGTGAGAGTTGGCGTGTCTCCTCTCCTGGTGTGCCCTTCTCTGCGTGTGTGTAGACCTAGCTGGGGGCTCGGGGCTCCCCCAGGGCGGGACCAGGAAGAGTGTGCACGGGGCTGGCTGGGTCAGATTCTCTGCCCTACCCCCAGCCCAGAAAATCCTCCCTGCAACCCCCAACCAGAAATGACAGGACAGGTGGTGGCACCCCAGGCCCTCTCAGAAAGTGCAAAGGAACCCGGGGGACGTCCCCAGGGTGGGGTGAGCAGCTGAGCTGGGGCCAGAGAGGCGGGAGAGTCCAGAGTGTGGGAAAGGGAGGAGTGGTCGCGAATCTCCATGAGGGCCGGGGGAGGAGCAGGTTGGGGAGGAGCCGGGGTCCCGGGTCACAGGAGCTGGCTCTCCTCTGAGCCTCTGCCGGTCCCCTCACCAGCTCTCTCTGTCTCCCCAGTCTAGGGACAGGAAGATGGTGGGCGACGTGACCGGGGCCCAGGCCTACGCCTCCACCGCCAAGTGCCTGAACATCTGGGCCCTGATCCTGGGCATCCTTGCGACCATTGGTGCCATCATTTTAATGGTCTATAGCTCTGTGGCAGTCTATCATATGCTTCTGCAGGTCCTAGAGAGAAACAGAGGCTACTGATAAGCGGCTTTCGCCTTCGACTCGTGTCCTCCCCCATCTACAGCCTGTCCTGCCCCTGGGGCTGCTGGCCCCGCGCCACGCTCATGCCACCCTTCCCCTTTACACAGTGGTTTTTGCTCACCCACTTTTCTGCAGTGGCGGTCAATAAAGTGCATGTTTCCTGATGGTGCTGCGCCTCACTGGGGAGGGGGCCCTGCGGAGGGGCCCGCCTGGTCGAGTCGCAGTGGGCCCCTGCAGGCCCCAGCCACCGCCGCGCAGTTCTGAGAGGGCCGGATCCACAGGTGTCTGGCCCCCTGAAACAGGACCCTTGGGGGAGGGCCTCTCCGAAGCCGAGGTTGAGCCTGACCCAAGGGTACTGTGTCCAGAACACCTTTGCACCCGGGACAAACGTGCATGGCCCTAGGCCAGCTGGAGCTGCGATTCCTGGCACACGCGGCAGCTCAGGCCCCGTGGAAAGGACGGACGGGACCAGGGAGTAGCACCGGGACCTCAGGCCCAGAAGCCCCTGCGGGGCGATGCAGCTCCGCTCTGGCCTGGCTGCTGCCCCTCCGGTCCACGGGCTTTCCTCGGCTTCTCTGGGATGAGGGCAGCCCGGATCGTGGGGAGGGCAGCGCTCTCAGCTGCGGGGCGGCTGCAGAAGTCAAAGCCAGGACCGCAG